AGCCCCTGCACAACTTTTGTCATGGGTCCACGCCCTAGAGCATCGCTTTGGATTTTAGAGAAATAGAATGGGGTGGGAGGTGGGGACACTTTCCCAGCTCCTTAGCCACACAGTAGGTCTGTGAAAAGTAGGTCCTGGCTATGTAATTGATACCAGGTGAGTATATAACATGCTTTCAGAGAACAGAGAAGTGGAGCCTAGACTCTGCCCGGCACCATGCGCCCGCATTGCCCTTAAAGATCTGAAGAGGCCCTAGCCCACCACTGCCCTTTTGGGTCCCCAGTGCTAGTGATGAGGTTGTGTCAGCCACACTAGGTGTCTGAGGAGGGAATCCTCATCTTCTTTAAGTTTCATAAGCCTGATTCCCTTCTCATGCTGTCACTGTCTTTGGCTTACACCAGAGTTCTGCAGAGATGTCGCCGCTGGGACACAGGGCACAGGGAAAAGAAAACTTTCCAGTATAAGCGAATTGAGGCTGGGGGAAGGGCAAACACATAGCTAGGAAAAGGACAGCAATTTGCAAATTAAACAAAAATGATACATAGCCTACACTGAAGTTAAAACGAAACCTTTAGGGGAGATCTTCCAGGACTGGGTGTCAATAAATTTGCTTGGTAAGTAGAGGTCTGTGTGTCCTTATTCCCCGCCCCCAGAAGACAAATGATACAATGTCCAAAATTTAGGACCCAGCTCTCTTCGTTTGTAAGTAAAGAAAGAACAGCTCAAAATGGGGAAACAACTTGCTTAAGTCTGTAGGAGAACCAGCAATTAAAGGATTTCTCACTGAATGACCATGTGGCTTCATTCTTACTTCATAGTTTAGAGTTGTCAATAATTCAGACAATGTCTTAACCAAAATGAAAACCACAGATCCCTTGGGATGCTCTCATATGTGCTGGGGTCCTTTGTCTGCTTACCAAATGCTCAGGAAAACGGGCTTGTCTCTTTCCCCATTTCCCCGCCTCTCTCTGTCTCCAAGCCTCCATGACCCACCTCCAGGGAAAGGAACAGATCATAATGTCCAGGGCAGATGGGCCTAGACCCATTTCTGGTGACTCAGTACAAGTGAGTCATTTGGCAAAAAACAAAGGATGCTCCCTATAAACAAGCTTACCTTAAACACATGAGCCACAAAAGACACCTAAGTTTCAAGAAGTGTTCAGACCTCTCAATCAATCAATCAATAAATCAATAAATCCGAGCATGGACGGAGCTCAACATCTCTGGACACAGCTCCGGTTAACAGCAGGACCATGTAGCAGCAGCCCAGATCCAGCTAGACAAGCTCCAAGAGGCCAGTACACTGTGCTCAGGGGCTCTGGTCATTGCAGCTCCCTCCCTTCAACTGAAAGGAAGACTAGCCAAAGACCAGGTCACCCTGTCAGGCAAGCAGGAAGGTTTAAGGGCTTAAAGGTCTGTCCAGGCTTCTCGTGTGCATTCAGACAGCTCACTTGGGAATCTTTCCTTTCCTGCTAACGCCTCAGGGCATCGAACCTGCCACCTGCCCCTCCCCTTAAGCATCAGGTTTATCTCTGTAATCTCCACCATCTAAATCAACGAACACTCAGAGTAACTGCCAGCATAGCCAGTGGATAAAGGGGAAGACACAGGAAACCTGTGAAGGTTGACGGCAGTGCAGATGGGTCCTAGAACCTTTTCATCTCCACGCTGAGAACAGAAACTTGCAAACAGCAGTCAGTCTGGTCTTAGAAACTGCTCCTTTTCCCGATTTTACCACTGTTTAACTGATCTGTGCCATACTTTATCTCTAAAGCAGATTGTCCTAGATGATTGCTAAGAAGTGTTCTGTCCCCATGTTTTAAGGTGCAAGGCTGTTGAAATAGGTGCCTAAGGACATATAAGTGGGGGTGCAGTGAAGCCACCAAACCGGACCACTTTGTGGGTGCAGTTGAAAGAAAGGTGTATTGTAAATGTGAAAGAAAGAATAGCCAGAGGCAGTTGGGAAGTCCAAAGCAGCCAAGGCTCCCTCTCAGGGATGGAGGGGTAAAGGAAGAGAACACTGGCCTTGGGAGCAGAAGGAAAAAGCAGGAAAGACATCAGGTAGTGAAGCCTGAGTGGGAAAACCTCACCAAGAATAGGAAGCTGCGGGTGGGAGGAGGGCTTGGAAGAGCCTGGGAGCTAGCATTGTGGAGGGGGAGGCAGGAAGGGCCAGAAGGCCAATGTGGGGGCTTTGATATTCACAACAGGTACCTGTTACTAGGGACTAGAGGAGCCTGGAGGTTAGTGTGGACTTTGGTATTTAACCACAGCTTTACACCAAGGGAAATGGTCCTTCCTGGCAGGCAGGTATCTGAAGAATGCCACCAGCAATCCTAGTGGCTTGGTGTCGCTTCCCCAGGCATGTGACAATACATACAAGAGTCCCAATCATCTCAGATGACTTAGAAGAGCATCTCCTTGGAGCCAGAAGTATAAATAAGATGGCCTCACAGATGTAGTCCAGCATTGGGAGTCTGCTTGTTAGGGCTGCAGAGGGAGCTGGGAGGGTGCACCATGTGGCTGTCAGAGAAGTCAGCAGGAATCCAGTGCCTCTGCCTCCAGACACTACACAGGGTCAAAGTGTTTACAGAAGCATTCACACCTTGGTTTGCAGTAACAAAAAGGACTCCTTCATTAGGCAGTGTAACCCCATAATGTTTCGCCCCTGTTCACTTAACTGATGTGAGGTCTGCCAGGTGGCTCTTTCTCACAATCTTTTAGGGTGTGCAATCTGCTGGCTCGGCCATTCTACAATCCATGGCTTCCAACTCTGCTTTGGGATTCAGTGGTCCCATGAGCCAGAGGTGAAAAGAACACTGAGGTAAGCAGGAGAAACTTTGATGAGCCAGGCCTGGGAGGGGCATGCCTCACTTCCTCTCACAGTCCACTACAGAGAACACGACAATAGGCTTCACCCAACTGGGAAGGAAACTGGGAAACGTAGCCTAGACACAGAGGCAAAGAGGAGAGGAGAGGTCTGGGTAGGCTGCTAACAGTGTCTACCACCCAACAGCAGGGTGCCTGGAATGGAAGGCAGCACTAAAGTCTCCTTCTTTGTACAAAAAGGGGAGTGAATCAGGTATTTCTGCAGCCCAGCTACTCGAACATTCTGTAGTCGCATAAGATGCCCCAAAGTGAACAAGCAGGGCAGGCTCCAGAGCAGCATGCTCTCTGCCCATTGGTCAGTAGAGAGGACCTTGGGTTTTCTCCAAGTTCTGTCCCTAAGCTGTTCCCATTCCTCAGCCAAGTCAAGTGATCGTTATTGACTTCAGCGTCCCCCAACTGTCCATTGAGAAGAAATCCATTACCTTTGGATGCCTCACCAGGGCTGGTCTGAGGATATGATGAGGTCACCAGGAGCTCTTCTGAACGCCATCTGCTCTCCACATAACACTCTTACCAGCAGGGCCTGTCAAGTGTGCCCACTCTGCTCCTGAGCATATGTGGCAGTATGGGACAGCATTGCCGTGGCTGGGACCCAGTGGTGACTGCGTGGCAGACCATTTCTGGGATGCCCAGATTTTGGTGACTCGGGGTTCCAGAGGTTAGCAAGTTAGTCAACAGACACCCGAATTGAGCTTAGCCTGGAGGTGGGGAGCCGGCTTTAGGCAACACTGTGGGAGACTGGCCAGTTTCTCATGCTAAGCCATCCTGGGTCTTGTTTATTCATCCTCTCATCTGCTTGTCTCTCCTCCCACTCGATTTATGAGCTGCTTTCTTGGAACGTCTGCACTTCACTCATATTTTACCAATAGAACCCGACACAATGCCTTCTTTCATTTAGTCATTCAGTAGATATTTCTGCAGGGACTACCCTGTCCCTGGCTTTGTGCTGGGGGTGGGACAAGCCTCTAGGCTCAGAGCTTAAGGGTTTGAAAGAGACAGCATCAAAGAGCATCATTAGAAGCCTGTGTCTATGGGAGGGCCCTGAAGAAGAGCACTCGGGAGATCATAGCATCTCTCTGGAAAACGAGGTTGAACCATGATCTGGTCACTGTCTAGGTTGGCCAGGTCCAAAGAGAGTTGGGAGAATATGTATGGGCCCTGAAGGCAAGAAGACTTGGAATAAGATAAGTATAAAGGAAAAAAGAAATCCAGGAGCTGGAGAGATGGCTCAGCAGTTAAGAGCATTGGCTGTTCTTCCAGAGGACCTGGGTTCATTTCCCATCATCCACATGGCAGCTCACAACTGACTATAACTCCAGTTTCTCTGGACACCCTCTGACACCCTCTTCTGGCCTCACAAATACTTCATGAATGTGATGCACAGACATACATGCAGGTGAAATACCCAATCACATAAAATAATAATTTAAATTAAAAAAAAGAGTGAGAGAAGAAATCCAGGATGGCTGGAGCCCAGTGAATGAAGAAGAGCGGGGAGGTAACCCAGCCTAAAGACTGTGAGACTACTTAGACCAGGGATGGCCAGCAGCACCCTTGAAGAATCTGTGCCTTAAAATAGTAGGAAGTCACTACCAGATTTTAGCTCAGAGAGATGG